GATAATGACAAAACATGTGACGAACAAAATCTCTGTGCATCTGGCATGAAAACGAAGAATCCGTCCAAAAAAAAATGAATAATTAGACTACTGATCGATCGTCATTCGTAGAAGAGAAAAAAACGAAAGATTATGAATAGAATCTCAAAATGAATTGCTTCATATATTGTTTGTTTTCATTGTTTTTTATTTTTCCTTTGCTTTTATCTGGTATCATTAGAAAATTCTTTTATCTTTGTCGATGTTTCTATGTGCAAGATACCTAGAATCCATGGGCGGCGGTGTGGTCTTAGTCTAGGGTAGGCTCAACTTTTAAGCCAAGCCAGCATCGAGAGTCAATTGAAAGACTTTTTTTTCGTTTATAATGGTAAGCGCTACAGATTCTCTTGCTAGGTTTAAATTCCGTAGAATTTGATAACTAAAGGATGGTTCGAAAGTTTCGACCCCTCTCTATAAATCGATAATATCTACAACAAACTTATACAAAGTTATCGATCAAATTGTGTTATTTTGTAGAGGAAGATAAGAGCTATCATTTGAAAAAAATATTTCGAAATACATAAATCTATTATGATGTTGTGATCATTTTAGCAGCTTTGAGCTGGCATCCCACTCCACCTCTTTTTCCTCCTTTTCTTCTGCTCTTTTAAAATTCCTCTTTTTAGCCTCTTTTCTCACGAAGAAGTAGGTCGTTGACAAAAATATTTATGAATATATTGATTATTGTTACCGTATCATACAAAAATATCACATAACAAACTGATGTGCTGATCAGTCAAGTTGTATAGCTAAGGAAGCTAAAGTATATGGTTTTAGTGATCAACTTCAGCGATATTATATATTCATAATCGGAACCCAATTTTTATAATTCTCTAGCGGAAGCAAAAGCACTCAATTATGTTTCCAATATGAAATTGTCATTTTCTCACGATCTTAACATGTTTTTGTGTACTCAAAAAGTGAGTACACTCTAGAATCGGTCAGTGTGTCCGTCCGGCCGTTTACACGATAACTTTTGAAAGGAGAGTCTGATTGCGATGAAATTTTCTACACAGTTTAGTCTCAACAATATCTCGGTCGAGTTCGAAGATGAGAATGATTCGTCAAGCCGTTCCTGAGTTATTGCAAAAATACTCATTATTCCCTATGCCTTCCTATGCAAAAATCGATCTACCCCCGC